AAGACAGACACCTGATTTACCTGGTAAGAAAAAGCAGCAGTAATGAACACAAATAAAAATTAATGGGGTCGCTGTCATAAAAATAATTTTAATTTTATTTAAATACAATTTGATATTTGCTGTCTGCTGTACATGTCCTGCAGAAGGGAAGTTTAGGAGCCACATCCTGGTTCTATGAATGTCAGTAGCCTGCCTGCCATTAGAACAGAAGCACAGTAGATATTCCCATTTCACATACTCACTCATGGGTGCTGGCCTGAATTGCACTGGGAGAGACTGCAAAATAGATAAATATTTAGGAGACAAGGCTTTGTGCTGAAATGCTGCTGCATATTTTCTGTGTGCCAGGAGGAGGTGGTATAAGCCACAGTGAGTGGGGAAACCTGGGCAGGCAGGAGCTGCAGAAGCTCGTCATGATGTTCATCAGGCGTTTGTCTTGTGCTCATGCCTGGAACTGATATCCTCACCCGATTCCCAAGCTGAGGGTAGAGCTACATGAACCACTTTCACAAGCAATCAGAAGAGCCAAACTCACTGAATGCATTAACACCATCTGTAGAAAGCAGCCTTCACCTGCATTCCTTCTGTGGCACGTGCTCCTGATTTCTTGTCTGGCTGAAGCCTTGGAGGGGAGAACAGCAGTATTCCCACTATCTGCAAGCAATTCAGGAGTGTCCAGAGGGGTTCAGAAAATCAAAGACCCTGTGTTGCTGATTTCTTTAACATGTGTTATAAAGGCCTGCGTGAGAATGCTGCTCTACAGTGTTGGCTCTTTTGCATTCCTATATAATTGAGCACACGCCAGGAAGAGCTTGCCCTGCTTTAGGGAATTTGACATTGGACACAAGCAGAGAAAGCCACTGGCCTTTTTCTCTCCTGTGAGAACAAACATTTCAGTCAGTTGCATGAACAGACATCATTAAAGGTTTTCAGTCTGTAAACCAGGCATTGAGGAACCCCAATGACAAATACACAGCAATACTGATTCTCAGAGATTCAGACAAAAAGAAATGCTTGTGTTCGTTTTGCCTTCGCTAACGCATCTCCTTCCTTTGAACAGAAAGATATGATTGCCGATGAAATTCAAACAGCAAAAGAAAGCTCAGACTCCAAAGGAAAAAATTTGGAAAAACTGGCTGCCAAGGAAATCTGCTGCAAATATCTAGACAGAAAAGCAGGGCACTTGCTGGAAGAGGTGGCTGTTGATTTTGCATCAGCCAGCTGCCTTTGCCTGAGAAAGAAGAATTCAAACATAGCAGAGGTAATATTTTAAATACATGGCCAAGATTTAAGTCTCCTTGTCATCAGGGTGTAAAGCTACAACATTCATGTCGTGCTTATTTTGTGAGTGTTGACATAGGAGAATATGTGTAAGCAGGGGTACAACAATAATTACACTTTCACAGATTCGGTTGTTAAAAACAGGTACGTGAAATTATGGAAATGGCTGAAAACAAATTAAAGGAGCATTACATCTGTGGGAGCAGCACGTGTGGATTGTCCATGAACACTCCAGAGGAAACGGATGATGAGACAGCCATCAGCATGAGCGTGGATGTGCGCTCCGCAGCGGGCGGCGGGGAGCGGAGCGCGCGGGCAGCCGCGGGCAGCAGCGCCGGCCCCTGCGCGCCCGCGGTGCCCGACGCCCGCGGCATCTGCGCGTCACGGGTGCCCTGCGAGTCAGACGAGTCCAGCAGCTTCATGTGGAATCCTCCAGAAAAATCCTCCGAGGAGTTACCGAGCCACAAGCGCACCAGCCCAGAGGAAGGGTCGGGCTGCGGTGACAGGGCCAAGCAGGGGAAGCCTGCCCAGGGACTGCAGGAGAGAAGCCTGGCGTGCGCCAGAGGCGACGGCACCCCGGAGACAGCAGCTGCTGCACAGGGCCCCTGCGTGCAGGGAAACACAGACCCGGACTCCTCGTGTGCTCCACAAGGTAAAAGTGCCCTCCTCTGACAATATAGGGACAAATTACTCCTTCCTCCAGAACTGCTTAGGTTCCGCTTCCTACTTTTAAACACATATCAGTAAATCTTTTCTCCTTGGTTATGAATTTACTAATAAATCTACAAAACATTTAGCAGGTTTCTCTCAGATTTTTTCCTAAGCCAGTTTTGGCTGCTTGCTTGCTTGCTTTTTCTTAAATTTAAAATGATCATCTATTCCTTAGACAATATATGGATTTTCTCCCTCAGTATTTGGGCTTTTTTGTTTTTCAGCTTCAGCCAGAGAGACGTCTTGGAAAATACAGATAAATGATCAAAAAAAGAAGCTCATGGAAAATATTTTGCTGTATGAAGAGGACAAGTTAAACAGTTCTGAACTTTTTGAATCATAAATTGGATGGATTAATTAGCAGTGGCCAGCTCAGAAGAAGAAAGGAGGACCGTGTCCTCATTAGAAGGACGGTAAAAGTGCACCTTTCACGTAAGATTAGGTAGCAGGTTTCAGTCAGGAACACTAGCCCTGACTGAAGGAAACAAGAAGCACCACATAGAGAAGCACCAGCAAATAACTGTTCTATAGCAGATTAAAGCACAGTCCCACTTTTCATCTGCAATGTGTAAAGGAATGGCAAATGCAATGCCATAATAATTTGTGATTGATTGGCAGTGTGTTTCAGGAGGCGTCTGTTGGTGTCCTTAGGCCACAGTCCCAGGAGCTGCAGAGCAACGCTGAGCAGTGGCAGGCAGCAGTGCCCTGTGCTCTTTGCCAGACAAGAATCCCCAGAGCTGCTGGCAGGTTTGCCCGTGGCTCTCTCCTGTTCCGTACAATCTTAGTCCACACACCCAGAACCACTGCATTACCTGAGAGGGATTTTTGTGCAAGTTCTCAGAATGTTGTACAACTTCCCCTCGGTTTGAACTGCACTGACCACAGGTGTAGGTAATTAACTTCAGCCACTTTCCTTCACTCTCTGAGCTTCCCTCCACATACACGTGACGCCACTGAAGTCCAACCTTTCGGTTCACTGTTGGGAGCTCTGAGACCATGTTTAATACTTCATAGGAGTATTTTCGAGAATTATTTTTTTCTAAGTGTCCTATACATGGAAATGTTTCTCATTGTGTTTCACATGGTAACTGTTGTATATTTTGGATTAGGGAAGATTTTAATTTAAAATAGCTCTGATTTTTTTATAGGACACTTGAAACATAATTTGTTGTATTTATTTTGGCAATGGGTCAAATATAAGCTAATAAGAGGACTTGTTGATGGTTCCACACTCACCAGGCATTCTCAGAGGAATCCTTGTGGGTATCCCTTAGTTGTAGGAGCAGTAGGAGCCTCAGTCTCAGGCCCAGGGATCACATGCAAAAGAAAAAATAGAAACTTGTATGCTGGTGTATTTATGATCAAGTGAAAGCCCCCTCAAGAAAGTATCACTTTTGTTTTTATGATATTTATTATTTTTATTATTGCTAGCATATTCCACTTGTGTGCAGTCTAGGGAAAAACAGGTTTATGAGGGACCAAAAGAATTGTCAGAGTATGTAGCTCTGTTTACAGATAGGTGAGCTGCCTCCTGAGCATGGGGAACAGGGCCTGATGTGCAGAAAGGGCTGCAATTCACAGTGCAGTTTAGGGAACAAAAATAAAATTAATTATATGTAATTATTTTCAGTGGAATTGTGTACTAGTATATATTCCTAGCTTTATATAAAGGCTTCACCCCTTCTATTTTTGTACAGTACCTAGTTCATTGTATGTATTATTATGAGCAAGTAAAAGCATTTTAGCTAAAGACCCGAGAACTGGAGTTATCTACACATTTCTCAAGTTATACTCTACACTAAAAACTGGTAAAATTCCTTAATTATAAGTGCCTTGGATACTGTCTTTATATTTACATGTGTTTTTTTATTTTACCAGAATCAAACCAAGATAAGATTAGTACTGACATAAGAAACATTGTATACTCAGATTGGTCAATAACTACTTAATTCTACAGATTTATCAAGATACTTTATGGCACTGAAAATATAATATTCATTGTTTTTCACTGGTATATTCTGGGAGACCCGTGGTAAAATGCCTGTCTTCTCCAGAAAGGAATGCACATGGCTATGCTCCAGAGCTGAATGGCAAACCCGAGAGTTTAAACTGAGAAATGTAGTTTGTGCATAGTTCTGTTTCATGGAAGTGCTTTAGAGGTTTTGTTCTCCTGTAGTCACCAGATGGAATTGTTATTCTTTGTCTTGTACCCTGATAGTTTTAAAACATTCTGAGGTGATTTAGGTAGTCTTACAGATTACCTAAGTATTTAGTATGGCACATATAAGACACTGTGTGGTCTTACCTTAACACCTTATGTAACTTGGCAGTTCACAAGAGTTTATGCATTACCATTTACTAATAGCTTTTTGAATAAAAAACCTGAAAAATTCCTCTTTCTAGCCTGCTTTTTCATGATTTATGGCACAGAAAATATATCTCATTCCACCCTATTTGGGCAAAAGCAGCTCAAGGTCGCTTTGCTCTCTGTAGCAATTATTAGTACAAACATGTTTATTCAATCTTCATTCAGTGTCAAAAAGCTGATTTTTTTCCTTTCTGATGGCTCTAGAGAAGAATTTCACTGTAAAATTAATTACCAAGGTTCCTGCGGTGCGGGCGGGCCGGGCAGAACTGTCACAAACCCCGGGCTCCGCTTTTCCACCGGCTAACAGTGGTTTTAAAAATAACTTCAAAGTGTGCAGATAGGTTCATGTCCTTCTTTCTTCCCTCGCAATGAGTAAAGTTGTAAGAGCAGAAAAGGGAAGCTGGCACTGCTTACGTTCTCCCTGGGAACTGCCAAGACCAAAGGAAGAGCAATGGCTTTGTAAAGCCTTGTCTCGTGATGTACCATTACAGGAAAAACCCCACCAAAAAAGCCAAACTCTTGCAAAGCTAATTACATGGATGGGAAGATGTGACTGTGGCCTGGCTGAAGACACACTGCAGATTGCCTTGAAAAAGCAGTCCTGTGAAAAGATTATTTAATACAGCACACCAGGTTTTAACCAATAAGATTTTATTCTGTCGGTTTTCTCAACAAAAAAACTCCAAACAACTGAGATACAGTACAGAAGTGTGACTAAAAAAAATAAATCTTCAAACCATGGTTTGATTTATTGATGTTGGTTAAATAACCCAGTTTGAGATTATTATATAGCAGAAGACATATGCATTCCACTACTCCTTTTCATCTTCAAGAAAGCAAAGAGACTTTCAGCAAGCACGTTATTTTCAGAAAGACACAAGTACAACAACGTCACTGTTACCAGCAGGGCTAGCTAGCACACTACCAGCTAACCCGAGAACTCCAGCCCATTTCCTCACTTGAAACAAACTTCTGGTCTTTGAGGGCACAGAGTACTTGTCCCCTCCATCAAGGAGTATCACACCTTGTTGTTTTGACAGCTTCCCCCTGTTCTGTTGAAGTGTGTGAACTCTGACCACAGCACAGCCATTCACATTTGACCCCTAAACCAGAAAAGCAGGGAATAATTCCTACAGTATCAAGGAGTAGTATCAGGCACAGTACTTGGCTATACTGTTTATCTTAAATTTAAGGGAATGTCAATTAAGGCTGATTATCAACATATTGTAGCCTCCCAATAATAGAGTGCTCATCAAATTGGATAATTGTTTCCCATGTTCATGTCCAGTTTAGATAAAATCAGTTCTCATCCAGCTAAAGACACACTGCAAATCAGGGACAGTGATCACTTGTTGCAGCTGGAGCATTCCATGGTGCATCACTGCTCGTTCTGCTGCCCTTCTGTCACAGCAGACACCCCTCCTTGGCCCTTGTTCACGTCGCTGATACACGCCCACAGCCCGTCCACCGACTCCTTCCACAGCGTCACCTCAAAAACAGAGCACGAACAGCTTTCAGCTTTAAACATATCCTGATTCCCCTTTTCTTGTAGCTACCACAGCACGGGTTTGGTGATAGCCTGCAGTTATATGAGGAGAGTATGTGAATTGTCGGTACTCCACAAAATCAAGTTCAGCCTGCATTTCTACCCTACAGTAAGGTCTCAGAATGCAGTGCAAGCGGTTTCCAAAGGTTATGGTTTTCCTGCCCTCCTGATTAATCAGAAGGAAAAACTTCCCCATGGCAGCAAAGGAGACTCTATGACAGCCATGTGTTCAACGTGTGACAACAGTCTCACCTCAGCTCCGCTGGAAACAGGCTGCACAGGGCAAAAGCCAAGGCAGCAGTACTCACTTTGTTGTCTCCTCCAGACACTGCGAGGATGTTGGCAGTGATGGACCAGCTCACGTGCCAGACAACATCATTGAACTTGTGCAGCAGCTTTGGTGACCAGGAGTTCCCAGAGGCATCATCACATGTCCAGATAAACACTCGGCCATCCTGCAAAAGCAGAGACCAAGGCTGGGCACAAGAAACACGACCCTGAATTGCCCCTGGCTGTATCTGCATGGATTTGTGCTCAGCACAGCAAAGGGCTGTCTCCTCGCTATGGATAAAGGCAAGGCAGGAGTACAGCTCTGATGAGAAAAACTACCAACAATGACTTGCAAATACCAGAGAAGAGCCCCCAAAATACATATTATCAGCTGAAATACTTCCCCAGAATGAGATTTGGTTTTCCACTCACATGGCAGGAGCTCACTAAGCAGTCTTCTTGATGTTAAAAAAAAAGCTTTCACAGATTAGCAACAAGAAGACAAGAGTCAATATAAAGGCTGACGACATCAGAGCTGATTAAGAATGCCAATTATTAGAAAACAGTATTTTTAGAAGGAAGTTCAGTAAATTTGATCCAAAACCACTAAATACGATGTTAGTTGGAAGGTCTTCCTCCCAGTGAGATCATCCTGCTCATGATTTTCCAACCAGAAGCCAGTCTTTGGTACAGAGGCACACACACCCATAAACCTTTCTCCAGAAATGCTTCTATTGGGCTTCTGAGATTGGGAAGAACAGGAGTCAAAGGCTCGTATGCAGAGACCCAAATATAGCAAAGGATGGCCAAGATGACCTGTTAGAGCAGCTCTATCCCTACAATTCCTTCACTGGAGAAACGGGGAAGGAAGCTCGTGGAAGTGAGCACACCCAGTGCTTGCCCCTGTCGCGCCAAAGGAACCTCACCTGTGAGCAGCTAGCAATGGTGCTGGTTGGCAACCCTATGGATGGAGCCCAGGCCACGTCTCGTACCCAGTCACTGTGAGCCTCCAGCTTCTGCTCTTCTTTCCACTGACCCTCTTCTTCCCTGAAAACACAACTGTACCGTCACCAGGGCAGCGGCAGGAGCCTCTATCATCTCATGCCCTGCTCAGGAAGGCTTTGGACTGTAGCATTCAAACTCCTTGTTCATAAATGCAATACAAAGCACAAGTGTTCCCTACTTCTCCAAAAATCTCTATGGCTTGAACTGACAAAATTCCTTCCAGGGACAGAAAGCAGCACAGGCAAAGACGCTCTGACCTCCAGTTACTGTCAAAAATCTGCTACAACCAAAGTGGTAACCAAAGACCATTACAAAGCTACCCTTGGAGACAAGATCACACAGGGCTGGCACAAACTGCAAGAACCATGGGAGATATTGTGCATCACTAAGTTTCCATTTTTAAAACGCTTCTCTAAAACATTAATTCGAAGATGATACAATAGGGAAGCCGAAGATAGTACTTGAGATACTAACAGGGACACTCAAAGCCTAAAGTGTCAGCTTTTATCTGGCGACAGGGCACTTACTTCCAGATCTTGACCAGGTTGTCACAGCCACCAGATGCAAATCTTTTGATGTAGTTTGGCTTTTGACCAGAGGGTTGTTCTATAAGGCTTCCTGGTACAACAGCAGGAGCCCAGCTAACTGCATTACATCCAATCTAGTTAAGGAAAAGCATCACTGTTAAAAGTTGATTACTTTAATTAACTAAATAAATAGATAGAGGCTGCTGAGGGGGTGAAGAACATGTGAGCATGGTGAATAAACCCGTCTCAGAAAAACTGAAGTCTTGCATGCTGGATGAATATTGGATGAATAAGAAATCCAGATGCAGAGTAGCCTCACTAAGGCACTTGCTCAGAAAGCCTGAGGTACCTATAAGGGTATTTGCACACAAAATAGTTCATCTTGGATGTGCAGATAGGGGGGACAGAGACAGAAACCACAAAGACAAAAGGCACACATAGTTGCTAAGATTTAGGAATACAGGAGTAGAAGGAACCTTTGGTCCTAAGCTGAATTTCTTTCTACTGGGGGCCACTGCCATTAGCTTATTACGTTCTGCTGAAACAAGAATCTCCACAATTTTGGGAAAAACAGGAGTCCCACAGTTTTTTTCCAGCTGTTGCAGGTATTCTGAGTACCAATTAGTGCCATTTCTTATCAGGTAACCTTCAGCACTGTGTTTAACAATAATGCCTAATAAACAGGGATTGCCAGTGCTGTTTAGTGAACTTCATCATATTTCCACTTCATTTTAGAGACTAAAAAGTATACCTGCCTACTCTGGATGAACTGAAACTATTCTTGGGTCTGGACATTTCACATAATTTCACTGCATTTCAGTATTTATCCACTCAAGTCTCTGAGGTATCACCTTGGTTTTATCTGCAGCTCTGGGCACTCTGGGCTGCTCCAAAGGACCAGACTCACCGTGTGTGCGTTGCTGATCTTTTTGACTTCCCACTGCCCATCACCCGTGTAGCTCAACAAGGAAATGGCCCCGTCAGAGCTGCCACAGGCCAGGATCAGTCCATAGTCGTGGGGTGCCCAGCAGACAGAATTCACTGGGAAGGGTGAGACAGACCAGATTACAGCGCAGGGCCTACCTGAAACCGACTGACCAATTCACTGACTGCTATCAGTGGCATGGTCACCAAAAGCAAGTGGCTTTGCAAGCTGAGAATGAGTCAAATCTCAGCAAAAGCCAGCCAATTAGCATTGTTTACTGAGTAACAGATCTGCATTGGGAGGGTAAATCATCTGAACACAACAGTTTCAATTTTAAAACAAAATACAGCATGATAAAATGCAGTCTTTCTAACTGGAAACAGGCAGTATTTTCTTCAAGAATTCAGTTCCCTGCCATCTTTATTTCAAAGCTGACTTATTTGTATAACACCTACAGACACGTGGTATGAATCAATAGTGGCTTATCCAGCAATACAATCTTAGGGAAATGTCCTGTTAATGCTGAACACATTTACTCTCTCTTCAGTTTTTATCATTTTCTTTTTGAGAGAGGCTTTCTTCCTCAACACTAATAGATTTATTCAGTCTTACCCAAATCCCCTCACCTCCTCAGTCTCCCTTCCCAGCTCCACACTCCAGCCCTCCATACCTGAAGAATCATGTCCCGTGTACTCGTAGGTCTTTTCCCAAGTGCCATTTTCTTCCTTCCAGATAATAACCTTCCTGTCATAGGAACAGGAAGCCAAGATATTCCCATACATAGGATGAGCCCAGGCGACCTGCCACACGGGACCTTCGTGCCTGCAAGAAACAGCAGCATTAGGAAAAGCTGAGAGAAACCCCTTCCAACTGCAGCTGCCTCACAGACCACTGCTGTGCATCGCTGCTCTGGGAGGGATTAGAGATCTGACACGAGGAATGAGTAACGCTAAGATGGCAATGTTAGTGCCCTGACACAGGGCTCTCACTGCCACAGAAAACAATTCACACTTTTATCAGTCCACGTCACTTCCTGAAAATTACAGATGCAAAGTACTAAATGAATGACCAAGCCCCACTGTGCTTCCCACTGGAGCTCTATCCCCAGCCCAGCTCCCAGAAGCTCTTCAGCACAGTCTTGGAGGAGTTCACCCTGGAATTCAGCCTGCGCTCTGTGCTGCCCAAGGGCAAAAGGACAAGGCATCGAGGTTTTGCCCCAGTTAAGCTCCGGTGTTGTGCCATCTCACCCCCTGAGGTCGGCAATGAGGATCTGCCCCCCGTTGCGGACATCGAAGATCTTCACGGAGCGGTCGGAGGAGCAGGTGGCCAGGCGGGTGCCGTAGTAATCCATCTGTGCATCGTGCTGGGGAGAGAGGAGAGCTGTGCTCAGCACGGCGTGCCCGGCCTGCTGAGCCCTGCAGCCACTGCCCTGGCACAGAGGAACCCTGTGAAACAGTGCAGGCGTGCCACACGAGCAGTGTGCTCCTGCTTCCCCAGGCGCTCCTTCGGCCACTGTACAAATGTTACACTGAAGGACCCAGGGGATTCTGAGCAACAGCCACAGCATCTTCATGACAGGGAATTCATGCTGACTACAAAGCAGTGACAAGTTATGTATTTCTGTTTCTTAAAATGTGAAGCGAGTGTACAAATACTGCTCTTAATTATATTTGAAACTTCACCATTACCAAGCCATCGAATATTTAAGGCTGGAAAAGACCTCCAAGTTCACTGACTACAACCTTTGACCAACAGTTGTCACTTGTCACTAGACCTGAACACTTCGTACCATATCCAGTCATTTCCTGAACACCTTCAGGGATGGTGACTACACCACCTCCCTGGGCAGCCCTTTCCAATGCTTGATAGCCTTTTCTGTGAAGAAATACTTCCTGAAGAATTAGGCTTATCTAACTGGGCTTCTTCCTCCAACAAATTACTTTGAAACCTTTCTTCCTACCCATATTCATACATCTACTCCCAGACACATCCACTTAAAGGAAAACCATTTTTATCAGCTGAAGGTCTGTACCAGCAAATATACACATATCTCTATTATTTCACAAAAAAGGGCAGAAACAAGCCCTCACATGAAAATTAGGATTTTAAATAATTTCCCCTTTCCTCCCAGCCAAGTTTTTCTCTCCACACAGTATAAAATGGCAAGACCAGGATTTCAGACAGCGTTCTGCATCCAACACCTCACAAGTGTGCTCTTTCACGAGCACAAACGTGCGGCGCTCAGTGCTCACAGAGAGCCCCAGAGCAGCTCTGTCGCAGCAGCCGCCGGACCGGCGGAGCAGCTCCCCGCACACTTACGATCATGTCCTCGTGGGACGTGTCCACGGTGTTAATGACCGACACCTGCGGGGAGAAGGAACAGAACGGGCTCAGCCATCATCCCCGGCCGCCCAGCCGGCTCCGGCGTACCCTGTGCCGTGCCCCGGGCTGCCCGGGCCGCGACGGGACGCCGCCGCTCGGGCCCCGCACCGGGACGCCGCCGGTTCCCCGCTCCCCTCTGCCCCGGCCCCTGGCGGCGGCGCCGGCCCCGGCCTGCTTGCCCCCGCCTCACCGTGGCGGCGGCCCCGGCCCCGCTCGGCCCCTCTCACCACGGCGGCAGCCCTGGCCCCGTTCAGCCCCGCTCGGCCCCCCTCGCCCCTCTCACCATGGCGGCAGCGGCCCCGGCCCCGCGGCGCTCCCGGCCCGGCCTCTGCCCGCGCGCTCAGACGTGGCACGCCGGTCCGCGCACAACCGGCCCCGCCGCGCCCCGCCCGCCTGCGACGACGTTCCGCCCGTGCCGGGTTCCGGGGGCGGCCACTGCCTTGGCTGGGCCGGGAGAGGGCGAGGGCGGGAGCGGCCACTGACCCGTCCTGCCCCGCCGCCGCCAGCCGGGCCCGCCGAGCGGCCAGAGGCACCGCCGGGACCCGGACACAGCCCTTCATCGGCCCCCAGAGCCGTTCGGCCCGGCTCCTCCCGCTGCCTTGGGGCCGCCCGGCACGGCACGGAGCGGGCGGCGGCCCCGGGCCCCGCAGAGCCCTCCGCCATGGCCAGCGTCTCCTACCACATCTCCAGCCTGCTGGAGAAGATGACCTCCACCGACAAGGACTTCAGGTGTGGCAGCACGGGACGGGCCCTGCGGGCGGCAGCCACCTGCGAACGGGGCCCTGGAGGAGGGGGCTGCCGGACAGGGGTCCTGCCGCGCCAGGGGCGGGTGCGCAGGGCACCTGAGATTTGCATCACTTGTATTTACAGGGTGTCTAGCCGACTGTAAGTTATATTTACAGGGTGTCCAGCCGACTGTAAGTTGTATTTACAGGGTATCCAGCCGACTGTAAGTTGTATTTACAGGGTGTCTAGCCGACTGTGTCCTAACTAAGGGGGGGTGTAGAGAAGCTAGAGGAGCTCCCCTCCCTTGCCTAGATTGGTGCCTGATGAAAGTGGAAGGTGGAATAAGTCTGGGCAGCTGGACTCCAAGTTGTTATTTCTTTTGTGAATAAAGAATATCGTAGCAGACATGCTTCTAGTTTTGTTTTGATAATTTGTGAGATAGTCAGTGCATTAAAAGGGGTGAGTAGACCCCCGTGTCCCTGGGTGATGGATGTTGCACATACTGGCTCTGCTCAGGCTGCTTGGAAAACTTTTTCTGTGTGATGGGAGAATGTGCCTTCCTAACAGGACTGAGATGCTTTTATTTCTTTATGTCAACAGAAAACTTGGCATCTTTTTAGGGTTAGACGGATGGCTTGATATGTAAGGCAGTCTATCAAAAAGTAATTAAAACTGACATGTATGAAAGATTTCACTCCTTAGTATATTGTTTTCTGAGTATCATCCTGGAAGGTAATGTTTGGGCCAGACTCGGCATTTTGAGGTCTAAGAGAGGGGTTAGTAATAGCCTAAAAGTAGGTTGGTTTTTGTAGAAGCTGCTGATGTTCTCAGATGTTAAAATAGGTACTTTATAAAGAAGACAGTGATGGAGCAGTTGTGCAAACAGTTTGTTCAAAGAATTTACAGTTAACCCTCCAAAGGAGATGTGCCCAACACCAGGCACGTCATGTCCCAGAGGTACTGCAGGGCCACTTCCTCCCAGCACATGGCCGAGCATGACCTGTTATAGGGCCAGATTTCTCTTGTTCCCCTCACAGATGGATGTGCTGGTGAGATCCTGAGGTCCTGGGGCGGGATGGCAGCGAGGCCAGAGCGGGATGTGGGGCAGGATGGCAGCCAGGCCAGAGCGGGATGTGGGGAATGATGGCAGCCAGGCCAGAGCGGGATGTGGGGCGGGATGGCAGCCAGGCCAGAGCGGGATGTGGGGCGGGATGGCAGCCAGGCCAGAGCGGGATGTGGGGCGGGATGGCAGCCAGGCCAGAGCGGGATGTGGGGAATGATGGCAGCCAGGCCAGAGCGGGATGTGCTGCCATGGAAGGCTCTGTTCAGCCCGTGGCCATAATTGGTCATGCTGGTTCGGCACAGACGCTGAACTGCGGAGTGCAGCTGAGGAGCTCTCCTGGAATCAGAAATAGATTGCACATGAACATCTTAGGGCACGTTACTGCTGTTTGCTCACTCTGGATTTTGGGCTGGCTGGGGAACACCGCAGCACTCCCCCATTCCAGATGGACCTCATTGCTGCTCAGGAATGGGCTGGCAGATTGAAGCCTCAAATGATGACCTGTACATGAGAGCTCTGGTGTGCTGAATGAGTGACATCAGAGCCTAATTTTAAAAGGAGCTGTCATTTTGTAACGAGAGAGGACTTCGTGGTTACTGTCAGACATCCCTTCTGTGCAGGGCTAACATTGGAAAGCAGCTAACACACGAGATTTCTTAGAACCTCAGACTCCTATACCAGCACCTTTTGCTTTCCTGCTCCTGGCAAAATGGATACTTTCCAGAATTTCTCAATATCCATTCTGTTAGAAAACTGACTGTCAGTTGGGTCTTTGTTTTTCTTTCTAATCTGGAGTGATAAATACTCAATTGGTTTTGCTCACAGCAATCTAAATATAGTCTAGTACACTTCTGAGGTGTAGTTTGTGTGGAGTCATTACTTTATTTTTTCATTTTTGAAAGTGAAAGGACTTGTCCATGTCTGGGGTCATACTATCAGTGCTAAGTTAGCCAGAAAGAACAGAGCCAGGTGAATTCTTAGACCCCAGACTGCTTTTTTCTAGGCCAGGTGAAAATTTGGTGAAAAAAGCCATCATGATTTTTTTCTGGCATAGTTAACCATCTTCATTTAGTCACTGAGAAAAAAATACACATGCTGAGAGCTGCTTTTAGAGTTTTTGTTTACCTGGCCCCTGTTAGGTAGTTATCTACTTGTAATATATAATTTTCCTTTTTCTTAGGACAGTGTTGTAAGTTACTCTTTGGTAGTGTGTTTTTATACAAGCACCAGTTGCCAGATTCTGCCCAGATGATGCAAAGGTGATGCATTTGTGTCTGCATATCAGCCAATCCACTTTCTCCCTGTGTCCTTTCAGGTTTATGGCCACCAATGACCTGATGATGGAACTGCAGAAAGACTCAATAAAACTAGATGAAGACAGTGAGAAAAAAGTTGTGAAAATGCTTTTGAAATTGCTGGAGGACAAAAATGGGGAAGTACAGAACCTTGCTGTCAAATGGTAAGAGCCTAGACAGTAATAGCCATGTTCCCTGGCACTGATAAAGCCATCACAGACTGCAGAGCCTGGCCCTTGACACCTCCCTCAAACCTCCTGTGCAAGGGACTTTGCCCTCTGTTGCAGGCACTGCACTTTCTCCTGGTGTAGACACTCACAAGGGGTGAGCACACAGATACCTTTGTAGCAGCAAGAGATGATTTTGGAAGTACTTCAGTGTTCCTGTTATAAACCTAACCACGTGGAAGTCAGAGCCCTAGGATTTTATTTCTTCAGGGAAAAGCACACTTAAAAATTTTGCTCATCAACCTCTTGACCTCTCTCAGGCTTTGAAATCCAGTGCTGAATTTCTCCATGGAACTGTCTTTGATAGCAATGGTACTAAACATGTACAGCCCTTATGGGCTTTAATTTCAGGTCCAAATCCTTCTCTTCAAGGGAGTTTTAATTGAACGTTATAATGCACTTGGATTTTTCCCTGACTTGACTCTGAGTGCAGCCTGTGCTGTTGCTTTGCCTTTGACCATTCCCATATTGTTTTAATCCACGTGAACAAAAGTAGCAGTTTCCTCTATTAGTGAATCCTCTGATAAAGGGATCCTGCTGCTGACATGTTCTTTCCCATCTCTTTCCCCAGCATGGCTAAGTGGGCGTGTTCAGTCTAGAAATGCCATTGAATGGCTCAGTTCACCCCAGGGCTCCAGAAAGGTGGGCCATTTAAAGACAACTTTGGGTTCCTCAATTTTTTCCTGCTGTGGATCCTATTCATATTCCCTTCTTTTCAACCATGTGCTCCTTCTATCCCTGTTCTTTCCCTGTTATCTTTGGCCCTTTCCTTCTGATTCCCACTGTCCTGACTTCTTTTGGCCCTGCTCCTCTCTCTGCCTGGTTTGGGTTGGTTTATTCTGGGTTTTAAAGCAAAACAGTTGGGCACTGAGCAGAGGACCAGCTTCTCAACTTCTTTGCCTCGTTATCTCTGGTGGTATCTGCAGTAAGTCCATCTCATTGCAATCTCTGATCCATCCAGAGTGTGATAATGAGGAGGCCTCAAACTGGAACCAGGAAAATTTCCTTCCCGTGCCTAAGGAGGTGCTTAGAGCGGAATAGTCATTCCCAGATAGGTGGCCAGGATCTTTAAGAAGGAGCAGTGTGATGGTTTGAAGGACATGGACAGTTGGATTGGGCCCTTCATCCTGACTGGCTTCTCGTCCCACAGCCTGGGCCCGCTGGTGGGCAAAGTGAAGGAGTACCAGGTGGAGACCATCGTGGACACGCTCTGCACCAACATGCTGTCGGACAAGGAGCAGCTGCGAGATATCTCCAGCATCGGCCTCAAAACAGTCATTGCTGAGCTGCCACCAGCTGCCACAGGTACACTGGCTGTCCCCATTTGTCACTGAGCCACAGGACTCCCAGCCTTTGCTAAACGGGGGAAAATGTAGAGTCCAGAGCCTGGAAGTTACCGATTCTTTACTCGCCTGCCAGAGGACAGTCTGTGAAATCAGGGGAGGGACAGTAGAGCTGAGGTATCAATGGGATGAAAGGCAGAATTAAATGAAAACTTGAGCTGTATTTGGAACTGTGTATGCCTAAAAAGCATCAGCTTTTCAGGGGATGCCTGAGGCTCCCAGCAACAGGATTTTCCTCTGCAGCCATCTCATGAATCTGTCCTGATTAGATTTCCCAGTGGTGATTTCTTTTTTCAGCGTACCAGGAATTGAATGGATCCTAGCAGCAAAAAGTGTTAACTGACAGCAGGGAAAAATATCTCTCTTGCAGGTTCCACCATGACAGCAAATGTGTGCAAAAAGATCACAGCCCAGCTGACAGGAGCCATTGGCAAGCAGGAGGATGTGTCCGTGCAGTTGGAAGCTCTTGACATCCTGTCAGATATGCTGAGCAGGTACCAGAGGATTTCCTTCTGGCAGCTGTGCATAGAAAGGGGCTGCAGGGATGTGTCTGCTTTTGATTTCTTTATTTCTCTAATCCTATTACTGGGACTTAAAAACACAGGATTTGGTTGGCTGCTCCTAGGGAATATCTGAGTAGAGCAGGTCCCCAGCAGGGATGAGAGATAACATGCCAAGCCTTTCTGTACTTGGGAATGGCAGTG